TTATAGGGTTGGCCCCGTCCCACCCAGTGTTACCCATGGGGCTAGGAACAATAGGGTTTCACAAACCAATGCGTGCATCCCCAGGTTGCACTCGTCCTCTGTGTAATCTCATGTTTTAATCAAAAATAGTATCGAGTCGATTCTGGATGCGTCTTGACACTTCTTTCTTATGGCTTTCTTAGCACCTCTTTTAAAACCTCTTGAGACTTCGCGAAGAGACTTTTCTCGTAACGCTTTGCGCATACCGCGTTTCGTTTCTTTAAGTAATGTTTTGGCCATATTCATTTTCCACCCTTTCCCTTTTTGCGCGCGACGCCTTTTCCTGGACACGCGATATTTTCTTAACACGGTCATCACAGGATCTGCAGGAAACGAGGATCCTACTCCAATGTACCGATCTGCCTTGCGCACGTAACTCACGCGAACCATTTACCCAAAAATATCGTCTAATCCTTTACTTATGCGTTTTGATACTTCTCTCTTGACGGCTTTCTTAGCAACTCGTTTAATACCGCGTGGTATTTCGCCCAACGAACGTTGACTCAATGTTCGTTTGACTCCTCGACCCGTTTCTTTAAGTAGTGTCTTGGCCATCCCTGTCTTCCATCCTTTACCTTGTTGCGAGCTAATACCATACATGGGTTTGTTTGGTAACCCCCAAAAAACGGAGGGGTACTCCAATCGTTTTGCCATCGCAACACCAACCCTCCTCCTTGGTTGTCTGTAGCCACTGGGCCGCGATGACGGCTTGGTACGTAGATTTTAAATGGCCTCAAACCTCCTCCACGCATGTCTATTTCAAATCTTTTTTCAAAATCCAACTACTGTATTTACTCGGATATCCTTTCCATTTGACGTACAACCGATCTTTGGCGCGTTTAAATGCTTTTTCCACGCGAAAATAAGTCAGTTCGTCCACGTGTACTTTTTGTAAATCCCAAGCGTAAAAATGCCCTTTGAGTGGTGTCCTGTCTAGTTCTTGCACTCTACCGGGAACTACTTTATACACTTCAAACACTTCTTCTGTCCACCCCGGTAAATATCCTTTTTTAAACGGACGAAATTTCTTTTGCAAACGCACTTTGTCTCTCTTTTTAAACACCGCTTTCGACGGTGCTTGCGGGCCGTACAGACGCGACTACACTTCTGTCACATTGTCTTCAGTGACAGCCGACGGAGACATGCCAATACTTCTATGAGGTGAGTGCTTATATTGCTACACCAAATCCTGCAATACATCTACGTATTTCAATGTATTTTTAGCCGTAAAATAACGATAAATTTTGATTTAAAGGTGCAAATAAATCGTGCTTAATAATAAATACTCGCCTTCGAATCTCCTCTGGTGGCAAATAGTGAATCTTGTTCTTACGACACCACGTTTCAAAGGTCGAGTGAAAAAACTCTTTGCCTTGGTCTGTCTGTATTCGAAAAGGTGCGCTTTCGGCGCGTAACACAATTTTCTTAAAAGACTCGGTCACGTTTTTCCCGTCTTTTTCTTGATGGGTTAGACCCACGCCCATTTCGATAAGGCATCCACTACCTCCAAAATACAACGATACCCACGGTTTTGCGATTTTAATGTTTGCACATCTATCAGATCGGCTACCAATTGTTCGTCTATATTAAACACCACGACTGGTGCGAATTTTCCGCGTCGACGTGCGGGTCTGTGTAACGTATACGAAAGTTTTTTTCTAATAGTTTCTTTGCTTGTTCGACGGGAATTTTAGCAGCTCGCGCATAAGGTACCACACCTCCAAACTTCTTACGACGCCTGGGGTTTCGTAGTCGGGCAAAGGTCTTTTTCTTCTTTTTGGTTTGGACATCCTATCTTTCCAAAATATCGTAACAGTCCTAAGCGACACGACAATTTTATACAAGAGTAGAGTATCCAAGGCGACCCCAATCACCTTTCATACATTTCACGATATATCTTATAGGTATATCTTCCGCGATACGTTGTCATGAAACACATCAGATGAAAAATGCGTTGCGACACATCATAAGAGTCGGGGCGAACGACTGTTCGATAGCAACCAAAAAAAGTCTAGGTATCCAGCAGAGAATCCGTACTTTTAGTCCGCATTCACTGCTGGATACCAGTGGCTTGCTTGGGTAAAATTTTTGATGGTATTTCGCTCTTAGTCTGATAGAGGCGTCAACTTTTACACAATCATGTCATCATCCTATGGCGTGAAAAGGTAATTAAAGAAGCCGTATCCGAAAAAAGTGTACATGGCCGGCGCTTAAAAATAGTGACAAGACAAAGCGCTCGCCCGAAGTGTGTTGCGGCTAATGATACAGTCACGTCGAAGAAACATTTCTTAGTCAATGCTTGCGGATTACGTTGACTTCATTAATACTAACACAGGCTGCGACGCTTATTTACTACGACATTTAACTGGCGGCCTGAGTGTTCTGTTTTCTAATGAATTTTACCCGAATTTTGTTTTCGGATCGGAGACAAAGTAAATTCCTGAACCGAGGACTTTTTTTTCGCTGTGTTCGGAATCTTTGACAGCTGACGCTCGGTGCTGTAATTTTTGAGCATCCGGATACCAGTTATTGGGAATAAACTCGGCGTATTACAACCTATAATTTCTTTTGCTGTTTAACGCAGAGTCCACAATACATGGCGACTTTTTCTCACTGACATTTTATGTCGCATTTATAGTTTACACACCGTTCCAGTTTTTTAAACTATATTCATGCAGTACTCATAAGATTCTTTGTCACTGGCGTTCAGATGACCTATATTGGTGCCGGAATCCTCTAGATAATTGCGAGAGATTACAGACATTATAGGTACGAGGTGATTAAGGCACTGGTGTTGAAAATATTTTTGCGCCGGCTACCTTCTCCGCAACGATGATTAAAATCGTGAATAAACAGAGACCGGGGGTAGTAATAACTGTTTTCAAATCAAGATAGCTGTTGAACAAGCTGAGAAAGCTTACGAAGGCGTGCAATGTGTAGCTGAAGAATGCGAAAGAGGAGGAAGTAGAAATTAATTTAAACAAAGACCAACTTTCGTTTAATGAGACGTTACGAGGAAGTTTAAACTCCCTTGAACTTTAACAGGGTTCGTACTGTCTTGCAAGTCCATGAATTTCATGGTAGGTCCCCCCCCAATGAATTCAACCAATCCTCGAGTTTTTATTTTCTAAAAGCTTCTTGAGAGGTGTGGGACGTTAACTTTTTCCGAAAAACCAACTTTAAATACTGAGTCAAGCGCTGTGCGCTAGGGTGGTTTGGAAATCAACATGGAGCGCGGTAGTAGATCCAGTAATGCGTTATTGACCAAGCAGGAGGACTCAAACCTGAGTCAAACGTTAAGAGCCAAGCGAGAGCTTGGCTGCAGGTTACACAAGGACAAAATGGCTGCAATGCTGGCCACCGCAGAAAACGAAAAATAAGCAAGGGTTAATAGCCAATCAGCTCACAGAATTTGCTGCATCTTGCACCGCTTGCGAGGCCAGCCATATAAAAAGAAAAGGTAATACATCGGCGTAATATAACTCTTAAAGCAAGAATCTCTCCCAACATATTCATCTAAGGTAGTAAAAGTTTAAAATGTTATGAAAGCTGAAAAAGAAAGGGTTCCGGTGTCGCGCTTATTCAGAGTTACAAGTTTGAATGGCCAAGGGGTGGGCACTTATTCAAGGAAATACGGTATATCGATCACTTGAGGCTGTGCGCGTTACTTCGTGTTGTTTCATACTTTATATTATCTCATATTACCCAGTTTGTCAGGAAATCAATCGTCGTCGTGTGTTTACGCCCTACAAAAACGTCGCATCAGAG